TCTTTTTGGTATTGGGAATTGAACTCAGGATCTCACACTTGCCAGGCAAGTGCTGTGTTGCTGACCTACATCCCGTACTTTTATCCTATGAAGAGGATACAAATCTTTTTCTAAGAGCTAAGATGTGGGGATTAAGTATAAGAATATGGTCAATAAAAATGCTATGGGAGGAGTGAGGATGTAGTTCAGTGGTACGGCATTCGCCTAGTGTGTGCAAGGCCTTATGCTCAACACTCGTCAAAAGACACTATAGGAAAACCTAGAATTAATTAACTAATCCATAAAATGAAGCAATGAAAACGTGAAAGATAATAAATGTAAATAGTCCTATGCTCAAGAAGGTAAGAATTTCAAGAAAAACAAAAGCAAGTTTAGTTGCAAGAAAGCCTTTTAGGATTTAGGCTTATTTTCCTATTAGAGGCAGATTCTAATTTGCTAGCCACCTGCCTAGGCAATGGCACCCCACTGTTCTGCTCCCAGAACCTCCCCTGCCTCCGATGCCCCCTGCCAGGGTACATACAGCTGCTAATTCAATCCTGAAATCTTAAGAATGACCCACAAATGCATAGTTCCCTATCTCAAAACAAGGATTCTGATTTAACAGAATTGAGTTATTCTAACTCAAGTGATTACAAACTCTGGCTCTGTATCAGCAAGGGTGCCGATACCAACTCCATCTTCTCTGCCAGCTACATAGTCTAAATCCTGCCAGCACTCCCATTCTATCCCAGGGTGCCAGGCCTCTGAGATGGCCAGGAAGCAGTGGATATTTTTAGGCATAGAGGGATCAGGGCTCAGAAGTATTGTAGCTACTATTTACATTTATTGTAGATTAAATAGGCTTGTGTAGATTGTCCTACTATAGGCATTTCCACTATGTAGAAATGCCACTGAGAAATGTACATATAAAACACCTTAGTAAATGCTGAGACTACAGAACTTTAGTAAACTGAGTTATATTTCTTTTTCTTTGTGGGTTACATAATTAGAGGGCATGAAATGGTTAAATGGCAAGCTCTTATTAGAGTGCTGTAGCCAAAAGGAACATTTAATGGTGTCACACGAGGACATTTTAGCATCTGTACTGCAGCCTAAGGGGAAGCCTGTTTTCAGTGGAGAGCGGATTAACTTACTGCTATTATCACATGGCAGAGTACAAACCTCTCCATTAGCACCACCAGCCGACCTGAGAGGATGTGGGTGACAGGCACATAGACGAGAGCCACACAAATGAAAAATAAGCCTTTCCTGGGGTCACAAGTAACTGACAGCTGACCATTTAACAGGTTTGCTAAGGGGCTGTAATTCCTATTCCTACATCTTGCAGCTGTGAGGTTTGAACTCTGGTGGTACACGCACGCATGTGGGCCGGTAGGAACCTGACACGCTCAAATCCAAGCCCCTGACAACAGGACACACAAATTACAGCCCTAGTCTGAACACATTACCAGAGAGCATTAGCAGAAGACATCCTTGCTGGAACTGGTAAACAGACAGCATTTCAAGTGAACTTCAAGTAGCATCTGACAATCTGAAAAAATCCTCACAACCCTAATACAGAGTGATATGGGGCGAGGTATGGCTTATGTGAGTCCAAATGACCAAGGAGGAAAAATTCACAGCAGACCAAGAGAGAGACACATGTATCATGCTTGATGAGAGATTTTTTTACTAGTTCTTAAAGCTGGAAATGATTACTTCAGGTCTCTGTAAAATTTGCACAGCCACTGAACACAACCACATTTTAATTTTAAAAGAAGTACTGTCGTTCTCAACTAGCTCTTTTGAAGTCGTAAAGTGAAGCTAATGTAAAAAACCTAGTTATTTTACAGAACAGATACACTGATGTACCCAATCCTGCCACTTAAGATTGAAGCTTCCTAGTGAGAAAATAAGGAATGTCACTTAGAAAACTCTACATCACATATGGGTTATGTTTCCCAGGTGTGCTAAACTGCTCAGAACTGTCTCACAAGGACTTGAAAGGAACAGGTATTAAAATGTTAGAAATTTTGCAAGTCAGCTGACATCAAATTGGTAGCTTCATATTAGTCATGGTGAAAGTGTTTACACCACAGAAACTAGCAAATGTCACAAGTCAGGCCCACCTGCTCTCTTCTCCTGAGCCAGCTGTAAATATTATTAAACACTGCTGGTTACACTTGTCCTTCAGTAATACTTTTTAAAAATAAATTCCCTTTACCCCCCCCCCCATTTTGGTACTGAGAATCGAACACATAACCTCATGCATGTCGGGCAGACACTTACACCATTAGTTCCCTTTTTAAACTATGATCTTTAAGTGTACAAGCAGATGTCTTGCTTAGCTGAGTTTGGTATAATTTTCTAAAGAATAACGGGGCTGGGGATTTAGCTCAGCGGCATAAGCACCTGCCTTGCAAGCAGGCAGTCGTGAGTTCGATCCCTGGTACCGATAAAAACGAAAAAGACAAAAAAAAAAAAAAAGAATAACACAACCTGTTAAGTCATTGTCTTGGCTGTCTTCACATTTGCCATTTGCTATAGACTTTGTTTATTATTTATAATTTTACTGTATTCTGCAGCTAAAAACTGTCCTATTTCAAATTTGTTCAAAGTGCAACTTCAGTATAAAAATATTATTTTAAAAATATCATTACCCCTCATCTTATTTCTTCAGGCAATATTTAAAATTTTGTCACAATTCTATCTAGCTAGCATCTTCCTAGAGAAAAACAGTAACCTGATTTTAAAAAAGGCTGCTGAGCTAATTGAAATTTAACTTAAAAGTTAGTTTACCTTGCTATTTTTCTATGCTTTTAATTGAAATGTTTTTACCAATAGTCCATAGATTTGAATATATTTGCATTTTATTTTTCATAATGTGTAGCATTTTTTGTTTTAAATTTGGTTGCTTAATCTCAATTACATGCCTTCTGGATGTCACTGTTATCAATTAATGAATTTCCTGTTTTAATTGCAGGTTTGTAAATTCACATGTGTTTAGGAGTAATTGTTGACCTATTCAACCAGAAGTTTTTTTTCACTGACATTTCACACCAACAGTTTATTAAACTTCCAAGGTTTTGTTTTCACGTCATTAGCAGTTTTTACCAGTGGCACTAACTCTATCTAAATAGTGTTTCTCAGCGTAGCACGGGTTTTCTTGTTTCAGGGTATCTAGCAAAGTGTAAGGAGCAGTGACACCTGCTGGCAGGACCTGAATTCACTTCCTTTCTAGAATTTACAGAAGTCCCCAGTCTGCAGTATATGGCAGTAGTCCTCAGGGTAAGGAGAAAAGTCAAGGCAGTGGTATACTTCCCATACAATACTTAAGCTATCAAACTAACACATGATGTAAACAGAAAAACAGGAAGCTAGCTATTGTGAGCCATGAGGAAGACTGTACACCAGCACAGGTTCTGTTTCACCTCCTTTTCCCTTTTGTCCTTCCTTGGCCCTGGAGAAATTCATGCTCCTTCAGTCACAGTATGCCAGCATTTCTCCAAGCAAAAGCCCCTTTTCTGCCTTACTTTACCAAGTTTTTCCCAGAACTCCACTCTCATTCTTCAACTGTCCTCTCCCATTCACACTCAAATATAGAGCATTTTAAATAATCACAAAGAGAATCATAAAATACACCTTACACTTTTTTCTGCTTGATTCATATGCCTTGTAATGCTCTATTCAGAATACTCCACATTATTCTAGTTCATTGCCTTTGGATGTTGCAAGGTATTCCTGAATATGCCTACTCTAGTATGTTGGCTTAAGTTGACTCCAACTTTTTGCTACTATTACTTAGAAATTATTATGTAATAGAAAGAAAATATTTATTTATGCTTGCTACACATTTGTCAATTCATTTACTCACAATTAATTCTCACATAACTAAGAAATAATCCATTTATTCCTAGTAATTTTTTTCTTAAAGTTTATTTCATTTGAGATTAATATAGCCACATTAGTTTTCTCCCTCCTGGGCCCCTATCCCTCAGATGTTAGTTAATTTCCTGTTATCTTGTTAATACTCCTATGTGTTCAGACACGTTTTAAGTTTTCTGAGATTTCTTGAGCACAACTTCATGGGAGACTTTGTGCCAAAACCACACAGTGGAGCCATTCCAGATTCCTGATGCTCAAAAGCTGTGTGACACAGTGTGTTTGTGATCTGAAGATGATTTATGATGCAGAATAGAGAAGACAGCTCATTTTCAATTACTTGCCATCAGAACCACTAACCCTACTTGGCCTTTATCAATCATTCAGTTTCTTAGTATGCTCATATTTTCCATCTTGGCTACAGACATAAGGCTGCAGGAATGAACTAAATTCCAGAGCATAACCTGGACTCCCTCTGTCACTTAGGCTGCAGAGGTCATGCTTGAGATGGACAGTCACTGGCGTATGAATCTGTACCTTCTCTAAGTAGTTTACCAGGGCTGTTTGTCTTAAGAGTCTTGTTCTCAGTATAAAAGAAGGATTGGATGAGGACTGGCACTACTCAACCCAAGCTCAGATGCTGCCCCATGTTAGCCCGTAGTCCCCAGTAGGGCTGAGCTAGTTGCTCGGAGGCAGTGACACAAGTTAATGTGCAAGGAAAAAAAAGACACCTCCACCCAACCCTGGTCTAGGAATGAAACACTCACTGGAGGCTCCCAGTGCACAGTCAGCTTTTGCTGTGGCTTGCAACCCAGAAGTGGCTATTATCCCAGAAGTCTTGCTTGTTTTTAACTGTTATGTTTCACATAATTCACCAATTTTCTCCTGAATTCTACGACATCTTTAGGGTGGAGTAGAGAGGAGACAAGCTGATACTCTTCGAGGAACCAGAATATCAGATATATCTTTTTATTCCCCACTTCTATCTCCTCCTCATACCAAATAGGTATTCAAAAACATTTCTTTAATGAAAACAAAGAAAGAAACATTGCCCTGACTAATTAATATGTCTGGTCATGGTTTTGGTCTGGTCATAGTAAAATCTAATAAGAATTTACCACTATTCAACCCTTACTCACCTGAAAGGGCTTCAGGAATGTTTCCTCCATGGCCAGTCTGCCATATTCAGTGAAAAGCTGGAACAAAAACCACACACACACACACAGACACACACACACACACACACACACACACACACACACACGCACACAGAGAGAGAGAGAGAGAGAGAGAGAGAGAGAGAGAGAGAGAGAGAGAGAGAGACAGAGAGAGAGAGAGAGGGAGAGAGAGACAGTTAGTTCAGTTGGTAGTATCTGGGATCAAACTCACAACCTCATGCTTGCCAGGTAAGTGCTTGTGCCACTGAGCTAAATCCTTGGCTCCTCTTCCATTCAATTTTTCCTTAGCTGTAACAGAATACTATACCAATAAGAGTAATCATTTTAGGAAGTAATTACAAATAGATAAAGTATCAAATATTTTTAAAATAAACTCTTATTTTAAGACAAACACCTTTTTCTTTGTGTGCTTTATGCATGCTCAGCACATGCTCTTCCGCTAAGGTACAGGCCCTGCCCTGAGACTAGTGCCTTTTGTATTTACAATGCAGGAAAACTTTTTGAAGAGAAGGAGAAGGAAATACCTTCTTTCAAAGCAGAAGTTGCCCAGATTAGACTAGAGAGCCATAAATCATGCAGGACACATTTACAAAAGTTATGACCTCGTTATTACAAAGGCATTGAACATTTGGCTTAAAAAGTGGTACATCAAATACACTGTCATATTTTATTTTTTATTGCATTCAATTTAGTTCATGAGGCACTATAATAAGAGGTTTGGTGTTGCCAGAAATGTAAGATCTTGGAGAAAGTAAGCCTGAGTAGGTGACTGCGATGGGGCTTTTCATGAGTGTTTTACCAAGACTGGCTGAATGGGTTTCCACATATGAACACTGGAAATGTTCTTTCATAAAGACTAATATGCTGAAGCGGCTTCTTGGAGCTGGTGAGGAATGGATTCTTATCCCTTGCCCATTTAAAATAGTACCCACAGCACCACCTGTCCTCTCTGGAGGGAGCAGTGGGAATTCAGAAACCAATGGGTAGTAACAGGGCAGTGACTAATGTGATTAAATGAGAAGTCTAATACTTGTCTACAAGGCAGCTGGTCTAGGAATTAAACACCCACTGGAATCATGTACTAACATGACTTGAATTCATAATCACTTCTCAGAAAGGCTGAGAGCTTGTCATTTATAGAAGCATTTTAAGATGACCTCAAAAAAAATGCTGACTCAGTATCAAATTCCAAAATTAATCCTTTTGCAGAAACTCCTAAATTCAACAGTGCCGTGCCGTTAATTTGAAAAGTAATCAGCTAGGTTATCACATGCCCAAAGTAATTACTTTAATTATGTAAAACATCTAAAAATTACTCAGTATATTATCTATCTGTCATAAGTGGTCAGTGTCATGAAATGTATTTAGTAGAATTCCATGTGATATTTTCAACATCACAGATTACTTTGTTCCATTACGCTTCAGATGTTAAAACTTGGGAAATTATGCTACCTGGCTCCAATTGCCAAAGTAATGTATTCAGGGTAAATTTTTCTATAAAATATGGAGATGGAAAACCATCAGAGAAATGGGAGTCTTGGTACCCATCCAGAGTAACATGAACTGAAGGACAGCAGAGGGTGTCACACAAATGACCATCTTTAGGAAACGCTCAGTCTTTCCCTTGAGACTCAAGTGCTGCTTAGAGAGTGGGGTGAGCCGTGGGCCCAATCACATGACCAGAAATTTACTCCTACTAATACGCAGTAGGAGCTTCAGCAAATCATTCATTTCTTTCGGCCTCCTTTTCTTCATCTATAAAATATAAAGACTAAATTAGGTGATACTGAGGTCTTTTTCAGATCTAAAATACAGTTCTATAAGTTATCAGGTAACCTTAAATAGTGATTAGCTGCAAAGTGGGCCATAGTGGGGACAGGGGGAAATCTAGCACATATCATCCTAACAATGATCAAACCCCTCACTTTCAGACTTCAACTCCAAATTTTTAGTAATTTTTAAACCAAAGATTTTTTCCCATATATTTTCATATGGAGTGATAGCAAGTAGCTTTATGAGAAAAAAGAAATTTGAAAACTGAGTTAGAAGTAACATATCCAAACACGAACTAAACAAAAAACCTGAAAAACAGAAACCTTCATTTGGTTATGATTCAAAAGACTACCAGCTGCTACATACAAAAAAAGCATATATATTGTTACCTGGAGGTGCTGAAGATCATCCTCCTGGACATTTTGGGATAAGTTATATACCTAGGTTATAAAATAACAAGTCAAAATGAGAAGATAATCAGCATCATCCTAAGCATTTATTTTGTCATTCTCTATTCCATTATCAATTATTACAAAAATGAACTCTCTTACACACATCTTTATATACTGACAACTGTAAACCGTTGACAGAAGAGTAAAGACAACCCAAGAGATAATAAATAGGGTATAATGATCATGACTGTTCTAGGAATACAATAGCCAGTACTCTGGAGTAAGAATATTACAATTATTTTAACAACCAGCCAATATATTATTGTCTTCCAATCACACCAACACAGTAACAATCTAAATCTGAATGACCCGTATCGAAAATTGTTTTGAAAAATCATGTTGATTTTTCATAATTTCTCGTTTTATTTATGTCTGCAGAAATATCCATCACATATGAAAAGTTAGGTTCTGAATCTCATAATGATGATATTATACATCTACATACTGTTTCATGAACAAATCACAGCATTGAGATAATATGCAGTACTTTTTTTCAATAGGTAACTATCAAAAAACTCAAAAGAAAAATTAAAGACACTATATACCAACAATATACTTTGTATTTAAATAACAAATCATGTATCAAATAATAATTTAAAATAGTCACTACTAAGGAGTTAGCTGATTTTTCTATGAAAATGTACCATGTACTGGTCAAATATAATATTAAATAATAAAAAGGCAAAGTCAATGATGTTTCAACTAGCTTGTATAAACGCCTTTCACTGTCATTTATTTTAAAATAGATGTTAAGTCAGTATATTAAAGGGCCATTCAAGAAGCAGATTTTAAAAGCATCAATCACAGGTTGAAATCATGACTTACTTTGAAGTCCGTTAAAAGTTCAGCTTATCCCTCCTCTTGCTATTTGCCCTCTCTTGCTTGTTCTGATCACACATGACACCCTTGCAGCTCCATTCTCCCCACTTGTAATCTCAGCTTGACTCACTCATCTTAACTATTTTGTCACTCCTGCCTTTATAACCTACCACACCTTTTAAAAAAGTATCTGCTCTGTTTCTTTGCCACCCTCTCTTCCTGCTTTCTTCAGCAATATAGAAGATCTAAAAACAATCTTTAAAATCTTCTGCTCTATTTTTGTGCTTCTAGTACAACTCTCCAATGACCTTCAGGACAATTTGGAAAGTCTCCAGCAACTCCTGAAACAACACTTTAACAAAAGAGAAAAGAGGAAAGGAAATGGAGACTAAAAATTTTATATGAAGACATTTACGTTTCCAAATGTATATTAAATTAGACGAGATCAGGCGCGTTCAGGATAGTATGGCTGTAGACCTAAATGTGCATTAAATTAAAGAGCTTAAGAAACTACAAACACACACAGTTTTAACATTTAGAAACATTTCCACTGGCTAAAACAAATTTGTGTTTACAAATCTTGTTTCATTAAATATAACTTTTAATAGTTGATTCCAACATCTGCATGTAAGATTTAATATTATGTTTATTGTAGACTTGAAACAGAAAAATATCAGTAAGATAATAAAACTTCTTCTGACCAAAGCAGTCAATACGAAAACTTTTACTGGTTAAAGACTATAGTAACAAAACAATTCTGTTGTAGAAATGAAAAGACCTGGTAGACTAATTGAGCGAAGTAACAATGATTTACCATGTTTGTTGTATGTCTCACTACCACGTTATATAGAAATGCAAGAATTTTAAAGACTCATCCATTAAAAAATGCACTTATTTTATTCCATACCTGTATTGAGCTTATCATTGTGCTAAGGGCAAATACTGTGGCCGAATCTCTCAAAGTTAATTGACTATCAAAGGTTCCCTGAGTATCCATCAATAACACTGCAACCTATAAGCAAGTAGAGCACATTACTGATACTATATCGAACTTCCAGGGCATAGTATTACCAAGATATTAACACCATACAAACTAAAGAAAACCACTACCAATATTTAGTAACTTCTCACACATGCCAAAAGTCAAAGAAAGTCAAAGAAAATACATTAATTAGGTGCTAAGTACTGTAATGATTAATTTTCAATGGTAACTGAACATGAAGAAACTTAATACAGCATTGAAACAAAGTAAAATTGCTAGCTTGCTGAGCTGCTTCCTTACTATGCTTATGATACTGCCTACTGTGACCACTAAACTTGTAAGCAGAGCTCATGCTAAGATGCTACTCCCAACACACTTTTATGCCAAATGGGCATGATCAGGTTTCAAAAGAGCATTTTCCAGGTTACTGTTGCAAGTAAAAATTCAATTTTACTTAAAAAGCTAGTGCCATACCTTTTTACCATCATGCTTATTGATAAGGAAAACTTCACTCCATATCTGGATTCCTGTAGTCTCTCGTTCAGATCCACCTCTCCATGAAAATCCAGTCAGTGGTTCATTGTAATCTCCAACCCAATCAACTGATTCCTATAAATTTAATAGTCTGTGATATGAAACTCTACATGTGTGTATAATTTTTCCGTCATACTTTCCAATTCTAACTTTAGTCAAAGGAAATAACATATGCATATCTATTACATTCAGAAGTAATTTTGTTCATTCAAAAAATAATTACAGAAAGACAACCATCTGTTACATTTTAAACTGAGTTCTGGTAATACAGAGATAAAAAGCTACCATTCGGACCAGAAAGAGCTCACAGCCTAACAGAGACCTACTAATAAATCACCAGGATAGAGCTGGGGATATAGTGCCTGTCTTGCAAGCACAAGGTTCTGACTTCTATCCTCAGTACCAAAAAAAAAAAAAAAAATCCCATGAGCCAACGGCAGCCATGTGGGCCGGGAGGAGAACCAAGACGCCAACTCACACCCTCCTGAGAGCCAGTGGCAGTCCTGGGCCAGAAGGAGAACCAAGAAGCCAACCCATACCCTAAAATGAGCCAGCAGAGTATAGGCTGGGACACAGGGGGAGCACCATCCCCTAGCCCTGGTAAGCAACTGGCTGGTTGGGAGGAACACAGGCTGAGATGAAAGCAACTGAAGTTAAAAAAAAAAAAAAAAAACAAAAACAATGCTTGTATTATTTGATTGATTTTGCAGGCCTAAAGTCAGTAGTCTGAGCATCTATTTAGTAGATAACAATATGTAATATATCAACTATGGAGGATTTCCTTCTGTCTTGTTTTTGAAATCCAGTATGGTGCTCACTGTTTTGTTTTGTTCCATTTTATCATTTTATTTCCTTTAAATTAAAAAAATCACTAGGATGCAGGTATATGCAGGTCAACACAGAGGTGTCTATAAGGCATACATGGAAGGGTAGGAAATAAAACACCTAACTATTGATCAGGTAAGAATTCATAGGTGAGGGGGCATTTGAGAAATATTTAGGAATTTTCCAAATAAACAAACTTGGAGAGGGCATTCAAGGAAACAAGAGGAAGAAGAGACAGAGAGAAGGAAGAAGAGACGAAGCAAGGAAAGAAACAGTCTGACTGGCTTAGGCACCATACCCACTGTTCCAGCTGTCAGTTTACCCTCTCTCTGACTCTACAACCCCAAACCAAAGCATTTGTATATATCCTGACATAATAACCATATTTCTTCAAAAATTACTTACTGATTAGTATGTTCTAGATATAGGATAAGCTTAATAACCATTTTACTGGTCAAAAAGAACAGAGACTGTCACATTTAACATCAAATTTTGCCATTTGAAAAATGAATGAAGGGCTGAACATGGCGGCACATGCCTGTGTCCTGGCACTCAGGAGGTGGAGGAAGGAGGATCACTATGAGTTTGAGGCCAGCTTGGACTATACAGTATGTTCAAGGTCAGTCTAAATTTCAGAAAGAGACCTTGTCTCAAAAGACAAAAATAAATGACAAATACACAGTAATGAAAGTCGCATTTGGTCTACACAAGTCAATGACAGATGTCCTTATTCATAGAACAGTAAAACAAGTGTTCATTTTCTGTCTTTTCTTCGGTACCAGGAATCGAACTCATGACCTCACATTTGCCAAGCAGGCACGTATGCCACTGAGATAAACCCCTCATATTCTTGTCTTGCTTTCTCTCGCATTCAGAAAAAGATACAATCTATACACTTTTATTTCAAGCAAACACTTTTTACCACAAGTAACATGCTGAGTATTATGAGTGTTTCATTTTAATGTATAACAGGTAAAACTATGAATATGCCTAAAATGCTACTAACCAAAACAGTACAAAACATATTAATTTTGTTCATTCAGTTTTCCTGCCTGTGTTAATTAACAGTACTTTTGATATGCCAGAAATCAGGATTAGTAAGAGCGTTGCTTTCTCTGAACACCTGAATTATTTTGGCAGTTCTGTTCTTGACTTTTTTGAAGTGATGCTAGAGATGAAATGTGTTAAAATTAGTGTCACAAAAGTGTTCAGAAATGCCTCATCTATAAAAGTCTGTGATATAAATACATCACACAAAGTTCTGTGGGTGCTCTATTATGCCTCAGCATTCATGTTTACATCAGAATTACTCTTGGTAAGAGGACAGGAAGTAGTACTGGAATGTTTTCCATTCCCAACCTTCTGTTCCTCAACCTAATCTGCTACGTATTCTGCTTTTGACGTATTTTAGTTTCTTTAAAAACTCACTTCTGCACCACAGTGTTTTCTAAAATATTGTAACTGTTAGTTTTTTCTGGGGATGGGACAAAGTGAGGACTGACTAAGAAAGAACTTTCTAGGGTAATGGTGATGGGTTTTGAACTACATAGGTATATGCACTTGTCCAAAATCAGCAAATGCATATTGAAGCTTTGGGTAGTTCTTTGTATGAAAATTTTACATCAAAATAAAGACCTAAAATTGTGATATATATATTATTTATATAATGATGGTAAATATTAAAATACTAGTGCCCCCAATCTACCTTGAAATGTATTAAAAGACAGAGTGATGGACAGAAAAAAGAATGAACAGATGGAGACATGTGATAAAGCAAGGATATTAATGCCAGTGGAAGAATGTAGGTGATGGGTATCCAAGTGTTCACTGGCAAATTCTTTTAATTTTCCTGCATTTTTGGAAAATGTCAGTAAATGTTGGAAAAAAGTCACTACAACAAAAGAATTATGGCAAAAGTCATTGGACACTTTATACCTAACAGGGAAATCTTATAATCATACCATTCTGCTAGTGTCTATTTTTAAAACAGGAAAATCTTACACTTCAGAGAAAAGCCGTCCGTGTTACCTGTCCCCATAGACTGAGGCTGGAGTGGCTTCACCCTGGCGTTTATGTTAGAACACAGCCAGAGAAATACTAGATTCTATTAATAAAAACACAAAGTGGAAAAGGCACAGGGACAAGAAGACTTTTGAAGGCTCCTCTTACCAACCTGGTTGTACATGTACCGCAACATGAAGTCCATCAGGAATGACTTTCCTTTCCTGAAGGCTCCAGCGACAGACACTGCCACCACCTCCTTGTCCCTCACAGCCTCAGAGAGAAGGATGCGATTCAGCGCTGTCTCATCTAATTCAAAGGAATGGTCGTCTTTGACAATAAGGACTTGGACAGGACCTGCCTTTTTCACTGGCTCCTCCTCTTCTGAGCTCCATTCACCTGATTTTTCTGAAAACCCACCTGCGGAACAAAGAAAGTACCAAGTGGTTTATTCATCTCCAACAGCCAGGAAATACGTACCTCTTAACTGTCCAACGTCAAACAGTGTAACTGGACATAGTCACTCTAATGACATATTTTAATGCCATTCACACCATACTTCAGAAAGACTTGAGTGGATCTTTCTGATCATGTGACTGAGTCAAAACAGTCAAGAAACTTCTAAGTCAATTCAGTCAGTGCTGAGATTTCTCTCTGCTGAGAAAGAAAAGCAAAGCAAAGCACTCTGCTTTTGGGATGCAAATAGTAAAGTTTTAGATTACACCCTTCTTTTCCTAGAAATAAGCTTACCTAGTTATATAAATGATCCTTGCAACACTTCTTAAAGCTGATTATACATGAGAGGAAATACATAGGGGATTCAGAATCACGAATTCTCAGGGATGCTATTAGTATACTTGAAGAAACTGAAGCCAGTGATGGTAACTGACATTGCCCAGGGGAAAGAAATGGAACTTTTATATCAACAGTTCTACCATGGATGCTTTTTCATGTTATTTATTTAATCCTTTTTCTATCTCAGTATGGCATTTACTGTTATCTACATTTTTAACACATGAAGAAACTAAGGTTCTAATTTAAGTTACTTGGCCAAGATCACACTAAGTAGGAAGTGACATATCCAGGTTCACAAAGACAGCACTGTCAACCTCAGATTATTACATCGCAGGCATCAAAATTTTCATCCCATATCTTTCTACTATATTCTTCTCTAGTGAATGTCAACCCCTAAAAATGACACAAATGTGCTCACTTGCTTTGCATCAAAAGAATACACATTCAGTGATTACACCAATGCCTTAGATCAGATAGATTATTAAGGACTTCAAGTAAATCCTTAATAATACTTATGGACTAAAGGTGTGGATTCACCCCACTCAACTTACAGGTTGGACCCCTAATCCCCAAAGTGATGGACTTTGGTAAGAAGGCCTTTGAGAGGAAACTAGAGCAAGACTATGTGACCAGGGCTAGCTTCCTTGGTGGGACTGGGATGCTCACAAGGAAGCGAAGGACCAGACCCCTTGTCTGAAATACAAGGACACAGAAAGAAGGCAGTCATCTGTGAGAAAGGAGGCAGGGGTCTCACCAAGGACCTGACCATGCTGAGACCCTAATTAAATCCAGATTTCAAAACTGTAGGAAGTAGATGTTTGTTGACAAGCCACCCAGTCTATGCTACTGTCTTACAGCAACCCAAACTGACTAAACAACAATACTCATTTTGAAACAAACTGGGCTCTTAAATGATCATTAGCCAAACTTTTGAAAATATATTTTAAATAACATCATAGTGATGTTTACTTGCTAAGAAGAGAAAAACAAGGCAACTGTATCTCGACCTACTTTTAAAAGTCTTTAGATCACACTGATACATATCTCACATTAATAGCTTTATATTATTCATTTATAAAATGACACTATATTGCAAACCTAGTGTCTAATTTGAGCTATTAATGGAAACAAATACGCAGTAATAATATTCTGAACAACAGCACAAAGCATTTGGTGACCACAGACTAATGCTTCTACCTATGAATCAGTTGTTCTCACTTCAAAGTTAACAAAAATTGCTTTTATATCTGAAAGATAATAGATTCTATATTGCCCTATCGCAGATACCAGAGTAGAATTTCTCTTTAAATCTCAGCTTTACAACTTACAACATATGTGAAGCTGTGAAAATTACTTAACATCCCAATAACTGACTACCCTCCAACTGAAACAGGAGATTGGATGGGGATACCGTTTGGTGGAAGGCCGCCTGCCTGGCACACACAAAATCCCAATTGCTATGCCCAGCAGTAAAGTAACAAAAACAACGACGTAAGACATTAATAATGGTGTATGCATCAGAGAGGCTTCATGAAAATTACATGAAGTAATGTTAATTAAATGAATACTTAAAAATCTGATAAGCAATGCATGGCTAATACATGGTGACTATGATTAGTACTGGTTTTATTATCTACCTATATTTGATTACAGTACTATCTGTCCATCCAATTTCAGCTTCCGTATAAAGGCCTTTTCTGAAGACACTACACTTTTTCCTTAAAGCTCCTTACCTATAGTTTATGATTTAGAAGCACACTTGATATTAATCAGGGATGGTATGTAGACATTCTAGGTAGTAAAATACTTTCAGAACAGAAAACTAAATCACAGATAGGCATGGTGGCACATGCCTGTAATCTCCAGACTCAGGAGGCTGAGGCAGGAGGATCACTACAAATTCAAGACCAGTGTGGGCTACAAAAGTGAGTTTGAGCCCAACTGCATAGTGAAACCCTCTCTCAAAAAAAAAAAAAAAAACTTCAAAAAACTGAAATACTTCTTTGAGGCAGCAAACTACATATTCTTGGGGATACATGTAGACTGTTCATTTTTAAATTCTCAACTTTACAATGTGAGGCAAAACTGTCTCTTCCTACCCTACCCTAGTAATTTATTATACGCACTGCTGATTCACTATTCAGTTTAGTCTGACTTCTCAGCTTTTGTCAACTGCATAGTCGTGAGTTCGATCCCTGGTACCGATAAAAAGGAAAAAGACCAAAAAAAAAAAAAAAAAATCAATAGCATCATATTAATTTTTAATCTCTCCATCTATTTTCAGTAAATTCTGTTCAGCAGTTTTATAAATTGAGGAGGTAGGGAAAGATTTATTAATTACATTTGTTTGTAAGCACATTATAGTTTTTGTTTCTAACTATGACTGGTTTGTTTGTTTTATTCATGTTTTCCTGTTGTTGATAGTTAAAGAACTGTAATGGATTTTAACATTTTGGTTTCGGCTTTTTTTTTTTTGGTAGCGGGGATTGAACTAACAATCTTGTGCTTGCCAGGCACGTTCTTGTGCCACTGAGCTAAATCCCTAGTCTAACACATTGGTTTCATACTGAAATATTTGCTAGACTCTTTACTTCTTGTAAATTTTATGTACTTTGGGGGTTTTTTACTGTGCAGGTAAAAATAACAACTTAAAAATATTTCTAAGTTTTAAATCCTGATGTATTTCTTTTATTTTTCTTCAATTATTAGGAATTCAATGTAATGTTGAACAGAAGTGACAATGGATCTAATTTCTGACCTCAGTGGATAAAACTTCAGGATTGTAATGGGAGTATTTCCAATATTTTCCTATTTGGGGTCATGTTTGTTATAGTATGATTTAACACAGTAGGTACAGTTTATCTTATCAGAAAGTTCTCTTGTACTTCTAGTTTATTAAAAAGCTTTTTAAAAATATAAATGGATAATGAACCTTATCCAATTTTTTCTGCACCCACTGAGATGATCATATATCCCTATGGTGTCAATGTATTCAATAATATATCTTTGTATTTTTATATAAACATTTACAGGGTGTGGTATCTTTGTTGAATTAATTTCACTAATGTTTAGAAATTATTCATATTCATAAATGAGTTAAGTCTATAATTACCTTTGGCTGCTCTTATTATCAGCTTATAATCACGAGCTTTATAAAATGAATTAGAAAATCCTTTTCTGTCTTCAGGAAGAATAAGTGATTAAAGATTGGAGTGACTGATTCTTTGAATTTCTAATATAACTTGCCTACAAAAAGTCTTTGCCTAAAAATTTCTTTATGAGATGACTTTTACCTGTTATTTCTTTTATAGTTATGATATTATAACCATAAGAGTACTAATAAAAGATTTGTATTTTTTCTCATAACATTTTTAGCATACTATATTTTTATAGGCATTTTTTCCATTTTCTAAAAGTTTCAGATAAAAAAAAATAAGACACAGGAGATTGGACTGTTATGATTAACCAGCCTGATCTGAGATCTGAACACAGCAACACACATTCTTTTCAAGTATATAGAACTTTTACCAAATAGGTCACATACTGATTCATAAATCAGATCTCAACAAAATTCGAAATATTAAAGTAATAAATTACATATTTTCTGATCATAAAGAAACTAAATCAGAAGTCTGTAACAAAAAGAATTAAATTTCTAAATGTTTGAAAACTAAGCAATAAATTTCTAAATAACCTACAATTCAAAGAAGAAATTATAATGGCAATTGGAAAATGTTGTGAACTAAATGATGTGATAAATGTTCTGATCTACTTATCAGTTTGTCTCTCCAAGTTTTTATACTACATCATTTTAGTCAAAACTGCTTTATAAAAAGTAAGCCCTTTTTTATCTATTATTAGTCTATTTGGCCCTTTTCAAATAAATATTGAACCAATGTTAGTATTTAGTATCTTATTTATATTGCAGTATTAAAAATGTGACATTAAGAACTTGCTTAGAAGAAATTTATACTATGAAACACAGATAATAAAAATGTTTCAACAATCCTCAAGTTTTGGTTTCTTGTTTTTTTGGGTTTTTTTGTCTTTTTCTTTTTTTTTAATCGGTACTGGGGATCGAACTCACAACTGCCTGCTTGCAAGGCAGGCGCTTATGCTGCTGAGCTAAATCGCCAGCCCCAACAACCTCAAGTTTTAAGAAAATGATGAACAAATTAAATGTAAAGAAAGGAAAAAGTAGTGCTAGGGAGTTGGAGGCGAGGATCACCTGAGTCCATGAGTTCAAGGCCAGACTGGGTAACACAGCAAGAGCCCATTTCAAAAAAAAAAAAAAGGATAAAGTCAGAAATGAATACACTAGAAACAGACAAGACCAAGAAGACCAATTTAGTAATTTAAAACTTTATCAAAGAAGATAAACAATAAAACCCACAGATTACCAAGATAGACATGAAAATGGAATATCCCCCTCCAAATCCTACATATTTAATAGCTAATATGGGATATTACAATTTTACATCAACAAATTTGGTAACTGATGAAATGGGTAAGTTCAAAGAAAAGTATCATATAAAAAAATCACACAAGAGCAGGACATGATGGGGCATGCCTCTAATTCCAGTTACTCAGGAGGCTTAGGCAAGAGGATCAGAAGTTTGAGGCCA